TTCTTTCCTTCAGATGAAAAATTTGGCACAGTGAGCTGCACCTGTGTTAGAGGCTGGTCTACTATAATGTCCTCTACTTGCAATGGAAGCAGTTGACATACCAGCTGATCCAAGACCAGTGACCCATGTCCCAAACAGGATGGTTAAATAGGATGATCACACTGGTGTTCCTTGCACTACCCAGTGTCCATGTACAGCATCATATTTAAATAAAGGTTCAGTTCCTCATCTTCAAAGCCATCACTGGTCTAGGACCTTGATACTTGAAGGAGTAGATTACCCCTTCCCTCCCTCTTTTCCAGCATCACCCACAGAAAAAGGTCTTCAGGAGGTACAGTGACATTGCTGAACTTTTTGCAGAATTCTTACTCACGTCAGAAGAATAGGTTGGACCAATGCTGTCTCCTTCATTCATGCAGGGTACGGGACTTGGATGTTTGTAGTAGCTTGTCATAGATTTCATTGAATAGATTTCACAGACATTAGGGCTGGAAGGGACCTCGCAAGATCATCTGGTCCAGCCCCCTGCCTAAAGGGCAGGAAGTCCTGCTGTTCTTTACTAAAGGTCACCATGCTAAAAAACTAACATTGCCTCTCCCACTAATTATTTCCTCCAGAGAAGACAACAGCCTTTGACTATATACTTTTACAAGAGGATATGGTCCCAGAAGCACTATACTGAAGCTTCAAACTGCCTGAACAGCTAAGACATTACAACATTTGGCACAATAGACATCTCTGCACCAAGCAGATAGTTCATTGTTCTGTCAGTGCTACTGCTTTCTACTAGGCAGACAAGGTTCTTTGGGTAAATCTGGTATCTTTTATTAGACCAAGTCAAATAGATGAAAACATTCTTCTTTGCAGGCCTGTCTCTCACCCACTGATTCCTCAATTTACATCTTCCCTGACTGCCTTCCTTGCATGCATACCAGCCTCCAGCTTCTTTACTATTTATTCCTTCCAGGAAGAGCTCACACCGACTGCAAATGCTTCAGCCTGACAAAGGGTATTTATACCCGAAAGTTTGCAAAGAAATGTTGTCGGTCTAATAAAAGAGATCAAATTTACCCAAAGAACTTCGTCTGCCTACATCCTTAGACCAACACAGCTACAAACTATACCCCTGCTTTCCACTAGCACACTTGCAAATCGACTTTTAACTGAGTTGTGTTCTACAGAGACCTCAAGATCAGAGGTGCAGCAGGGCAGCGCTGCACCTGGGGCAATGCCAGCTGCCACCCGTGCTGATTGCTGTGGTGTGATCAGCTGCAGGGGTGGCTACTTTTGTGCCCTCTTCCCCTGAAAGGGGGTACCTGGGGGCAGCTGCCTCAGTTGCTCCCCTTCCCTCGTTATACTACTGCTCAAGATTCAAATTTGACTGTCTCAAAGATCACTTTACCATACACAAGCTAGGAAGACGGACCATTGGGAAGATCATGGAGTTAAAATCTAGAATAATAGATTCAGGTACTGGAGGAATAGTAGTTCCTTTCCCATGGCAACTATCTGATGGGATGATGACAGGAATAAGTGCAAGAGGGAAAATGTGAAAATTCATGATTGTAGGAAGGCAAAGAGAAGGGAGCACTTTCTTGGCAAATTTTAAGCTGCTTAAACTTGTGTCAGGCAGCTTGGAAATAAGAGAGGTCTGTGTGGTTTTATCATACCGCTAAAGATCCAGCAAGTATTCACTTGAATAATATCTAAAGAACGGCACAGATCAAATAAGCAACAGAGTTGTTTCAAAAGCAAAAACAAGTGACAGTGTCATTTTATCATGTAGACACCAAGTGGAAGATTAGCTGGAAGCCAGAGATATTTGATTTTATTTGCTAACTAATATCTACTCTGACAAATTGAGCAAACATCAGAAAGGATTGGTTTATAATTTGAAAGTTCCTGCAATTTGCAAACAACTGGACAACATCTGCCAGCTGGTTCAACCTACGTCTTCAATTCCACCAGGGTGGGCAAAATGCAGCCCAGGGGCCGGATGTGGCCCGTCAGGCCATTCTATCTGGGCCGTGGGGTCCCTAAAAAAATTAGAAAATTAATATTTATCTGCCCCTGACTACCTATCATGCGGCCCTCGATGGCTTGCCAAAACTCAGTAAGTGGCCCTCTGCCCAAAATAATTGCCCACCCCTGATTTAGACACAATATAATTAAGCACTATTGGTAGCCGTCAAAGCTGGGATGCTTTGAAGTTCTATTTAAGAAAGGGAACCTTCGTAAATTCCAGTGTCTTTCTTCGTATATGTAGATATGTGATTCCCAACAATAACCCTGTATTCAAAATTCCATCCATCTGACTTGCATAAATGCATATGTGATTTCACCAAAACACCTTTTTTCCCCTCATGATACCCAAGATATGCTACAAAGTCGTGTCTACTTGGAGTAAAAATAGTTCTAATGGTTGGATTTTCTTGGCATAAATTCCACTGCCTGTAGCAAACCTGCCATGACTAAAGATTTAACATCTGTTTTTTTTTTGTTTTTTTTTTTAAATAGACAGGATAGCTTTGTAATTCCAATCAGGATTTATAAAACTGTGATTCTTCTTTGACTGTTGCTTATTTAGAGACGAGTTGTATAGAATACCAGGTCTACAGCAATAATGTTGCTGGCTAAAAATGTATCATCCAATAGCTCCAAACCTACAGTCATTAGTATGGGAGGAATATTTTACTAGAACTCAGCTCAGCACCATTGAGTTCATTGGGGCTGTTTGAAAATGGAGTAATCCACCCACATGCCATCAGTTACCATCTAATACCTTACAGGGTACTAGAATGTGATTACAGAATGGGTCTAAAAGTAATGATCCTGGATTTAAAAGCAGTTGCTCAACAAGGAGAATTATGTTAGTTAAACTTTTAAAAGTGAACTTTCATGACTAGAGAAAGATTACCCCAGCATAACTTTCCAATACAGTAATACCTTTTGTGTTTCATTTAAGTATACTAAATTAAATTTTCATACCCAGTAAATCTGATAGAAGTTGCAGTGTTATTCTTTGTGCTTGGCACTGCTTACTATACAGAAAGAGAATTCCTATACCAAGGAGCTAACAATTTAAATTGCTGATGCATCCCTATGACATTCAATAAAAATGATTAGATTGTCAGAATGGCTTTAATGGAATTTAATGTGATTTGAATTAAACGGTAGTCAATTACGGTAGTTTCATAGAAATCTTTCTGAAGAAAAAAGTAGTCTCTTGATGCACTCCGTGATCATTATTTAACTAAATATACTTTATCTCACCCCAGGATTTCAATCTATTCATGAATCTCTCAATTCACTGCAACACATACAGACCACAAAGCTGAAACTAGAAAAACAGAAAATCCAGAAAGATATTAAAAAGATCCGACAAAAGATGATGACTGAACTCGAAGACTGAAGCCTTATGAAGATTCATCTCTCTCCACACAGCATTGACTTAGGGATTTTCTTTGTTTCAGTCTTTTATCTTTAAAAAATTGCCATTGTTTCTCCATGTTGTCCCTAGGACATTTTTTTCTATGTTTACATCATGTTATATGCTGAAATCTTCATAATCTATTGCAATACTAAGAATTGGTGATTTTCATGTTGCTTTTAATGCATTGAAAGTAGCTGGGTGTGAAGGGAAAATAAAATTTAAGGAGTGACATATTTTTATAAAAACTATTGGCTTTTATTTGGGGATTCTTAGGAACCATTTGCTCATTGAACACTGAGTTTCTTAAGCAAAATGAGCCTAATGCCAGACTAAGATGAGCTGCTTTTAGACCAAAGCAGCTCATCTGCAATCAAAATTGGACCTTGTAACTTCTTCTGTTTCTGTCCTATGCTCATGCATTAATCCCATTCTTAAGAAATGGAGATTGATTGGAAAGAAAAATACTAATCCTCCCCTCAGTCTCTAGAATGTAGCAAAAAATGTACTCCTCCTATGCTATCCAAGCTGGAGGAGAGAGGACATGGAGTCCTAAAAGCAGTTAAACAATGGAGTTACTAAAAGCAGTGTGAACAATGTACACAAAATAAAAGATAATGCTTACATTATCAAAAAGTAGTAGTGCTAGAGTGTTGCTGTAGTTGTGACGGTCCAGTGAATGTTTGAGAGATAAGGGGTTTTTGTGATGGCTTTTATTGAACTAACTGTATAGATCCTTCCAAAGCTTGCCCTTAAGCAGTGTGTGCCTAAAAGCTTGTCAAACTTCTTTCCTAACTATAAGGTCCAATAAAATATATCACAAAAAACAAAACACAAAAACTAAAAAAAAACAATCAAAAAGACAACAAACCTCATCTTTCATACACTGTCCAAGTGTTGTCCCAGATTGATTTGAAGCACTAAAGTCTAGGGAACAATCTTGAATTCAAAGTCTCAAGTGAAATCAGTCTGATCAGTGAGCTGTGGTATTTTTATTAAGAACTGCTATTGCATGGGTAGATACAATCAAGGTGTTTGCAACTCCTTGGGTGCATCTACACAAGATGTTTACTGCGGAGTAGACTAATTAGCTCCACACTAAATGTCTGTGTCTACCTGCATAGCCTTATTAGGCTGCAGTAAACAAATAAATGCCACTATAGGTTAGTACTTGTGTTGATAAGTACTCTCCTGCAGTGGCATTATTTAGCACACCACAATGCACATGCAGATGCTGATGGGACCAGCTGGGGCACAGAGGTGCTTTAGTACGGGGCCTATCTGCTGGCTAGCTTCACACTGGAGCACCCTTGTGCCCCAGCCAGCCCCTCTGCGGCACATTGAGCTGGGCTGGAGCATCCCTGGGCTGACAAGGTGACCCCCCCCAGACCCCCTGCCAGCTAGGGCTGCTCTGACCCGGTTCAATGTGTGGCAGTCCTGGGTGCGTGTGTAAACACAGCGCCCAGGAGCACTAAGCTCTGGCACAAACTGTGCTGTTTATTCATTAGCATTCATTGCCTGTGTAGATGTGCCCCTTATGTTCAAATATAAGCTCACTATCACCTCCAGGAAATGCTAGCTAAAGCTTCCTTACTATGCACAGCTCTTCCTGTTTGGTTGGCTCAGCAGGAGGCACATCATATTAGCCAGCTGTCAGGCTGGAGGCTAAATCCTATTTCACCTTCACACACCCAAGTGACACTCATATGATCACTTAACTGCAGTTTTGGGCACTTGCGCAGCTTGGGATCTTGTATACCAACACTTGCCCTGTGCTTCTCTTCTGTGCATGCTCACTTGGCTTGGTCTTGCCCTTGTCATGGAGTGCAGGGCTTCACCTTCAGGAATGAATCTTAAGGAAGTACAGCTTAAAGCCTTTATGATCCCTGAATACTTTGTTTATTCATACCAATAACACAGCAATTTCTTTATTTGGTGCATATAATTATATTAGTTCATAACTTGTTATCTCAAAGAAAGCTCTCATGAGTTTCCAATTGTAAGGAATTACCATTGGTGG